TATGGGAATCGTATCAAAACGTTATTGTATCGTAAAATAAAGGCCAGATTTGGCTTTCTCATGCCCAAAAACCCCTATATACCAATTTTCAGGACATTTGAATTAAAATAAAATTCACTCGAAAATGAGCCTTCAGAGCAGAACTATCAAGTCAATTTTTTTTCTAAAATGAGCCAACTTTACAAAACGAAGTATGAGGCTTGACTACACTCGGGCCCCTCTACAACGCCTGATATACCAACTCTCTCGCGCAAAACTACGTTACTACAGTGAAATTTAGCGCGCGCACTCTTAAATGGCCATTCATTCCGTGCAATCGAAAGACATCTATTCAATAAGCGCTTAAAATCCATTTTACTTGAATCCATTGCTGCCTCAGTTCACTTACTGCCTCTGTCCGATCACGATTTGATTTCTTTTCTGCTCGTTGTTTTTTTGGCAACGAAAAAGATCAAGGCGCGATAGGAACCAAAGCAAGAAAGATGAGAGAGAAAAAACACACAATGAAATTCATGGAAAAAGTTTTTAATAAAAATCAAGCGTCGCGACTGCCCAAGTGCAAGGTCAAACGCCAAATACGTAGAAAAGTGTTTCCTTTTTGAACACACTTCTTCCTGTGACGGCACCGACCAGTCAAAACGATGACGTTATTCCCAAATAATCCAATGATGCGACCATATTGAAAAAAATTCAATCGATTTTCTCTCTCGTGCGCTCAACATGAAAAATGCATTGTTATTGGTTCTGACTCATTGAATCAGATGCTATCTACACACATTTACCGTCTCATTTCCTTTGCTTAATGACCATTTGTGTTAAGATAAATGTATTCAAAGCCGACGAAACCATTTTTTTCGGGCACGTGACTTTTGGATTTTGCATTGATGTTGGCGAGCGCGCGCATTCGTCTGATCTCATTCGAATTGATTTAAGACGATGTGCCGATCACATTTGCATTTATTTGCTTGCATCTTCTTTCGTTCTGCTCTATATTCCACCTAAATTCGACGAATATTTCGTTCCGATTCAATTCAGCCGAAGAAAAAAGTGGAAAGACACACACACGGAATGAGAATCATGCCATCTACCCATTATTGTTGTGAATGTATGCGTGAAATACGAGAGTGTTGGAAGAGTTTGGCACCCATTACATGGTCACATAAATGTCGAATTCATTTCGTTGAGCACATTTTGTGCATGTTATTTATCGTGACAAATAGCATAAATTCGATAATCAAAATACATGCGCGATTCAACTTATTCGGCATCAATTTTTCGACTCGAATTTTGGTCAGAACATTTTACGCGAGCTCAGACGGAACAAGGATATCTTATTTATGTTTATTACTTACACTGACTAACAAATATCCAATAACATGTTGTTGTTTTTCACCCAACCGAGAGTGTGTACGATCCAGAAAAGAGTCTTGGATGTGATGGGGGGCACGAAGCAAATTGCCTTGCAAAAATTAAACGCATTGCACATTTCTCTTTCAAGGTGAATCGACATTAATTGAATTTCGTGAAGAACACATCCATGTTTGGTCATTATTTTGTATCACCGTATGTTCTTTTTTCGCATTCGCTTTTCGCCTTCGATTTCAATTTTTGCGCTCCGAACATAAATTTTAAATGTGTATAGCTTGTTTTCGTTATCGTATACATGACTAGCGTTTTCACAGGCGCGCTTCAGAGCAACCGATTCGAATTGGTGTGTCTTTGTTGTATTTTAGTGAATGCAATTTTCCAATGAGAGAGAAATATTGGATTCACGGGCGTTCATGAGAAACCACACAGACCGCAAAAAAAAAACAACGTAAGATGAACAAGAATTGAAACGAAGAAAAAAAATATACACGCGTAAACAGACACTTTTTTCATGGGATTTAATTCGCTTGAACAACACCAGAAACCAATTGCGTTTTACATAATACGACACACATTCTCGTCAACACGTCAAATAAAATAAAATGTGTAATGGCTTTGTTCTTGTTTTTCGTCGTCATCCGTACACGGGATGATTCGCAAAGCGATGCCAGACATTCAAAAGATAAGATAGAAATGAAGAGAAAACAAAACAAAATAAAAGAGCAAATCAAATGAGAAGATGATAAAACACCGAATAAAATGCATTTTTATGAAGAGCCATATTTTGGATGTAATTGTGTATTAAATCATTTTGTTTGTTTTTGCTGTAGGCAAATTAAACGGAGACGCTGGTATCCGTGCGAATTTTTTTTCATGGAATTAATTAAAAGTTTCTTGAATTTAAACGTGCTGATGAGGATAGTCGGCGACGGCTGGCTGGATGCAATTGAATCAACGTTCTTTTTACGTCGCATTCGTTTCATTTCTCTAAACCGTTTCACATCTTAAATTCATTAATTTGCATCGAGTTCATTCATTATTCCAAACATTCGCATAACTACCAATGCTACTGTTTATATTTGCTGACACACTTGTTAGCGACATTGCGTGTGTTTTGCATCGGGTGTCACAGCGAAAATAGGATTAAAGGAATAAACATTGACAGGAAATCAAGATGAATTTGCGCGGTGTATAAAAAGTCCCACTTTAAAATCGTCAACGCTAGACGATAATTCCAAACGAAAACATTTTCAACTCAAATCGCTCTCTACGGTAATCGGTATGCACGTTCGCTCACATGCACTTTGCATTTGTAATAAATTTTTTCACTTTATTTGCTCAAGTATACTTTACTTGGTTTAGAAAACTTAGCCTCTGTTGTGTGCATGTAGAGTATTTTGTCAACATTGCGGTGCATTCTTTTGCATGTTTATTTATCTAATCGGAAGCAACACACACACACACATGCCATCGGAGCACACTCGTATGCCTTAACTCATACAGTGTGTTTGTATAAATCATTGACGGTGACGTCGTCATCTTTCTTATCTTGTCTTTGTTCGTTGTATACGTAAACTTCATTGTCGACAACGATGATGATGTGCAATACCTGAACGAAAAAATGGTTAAGAAAATGACAACGGCATTATCAATACAACACACAAACATCAACCCAACCATAAACGGTGAACATAAGAATTTTTCAGGCAGCAAACAGATAGATGCACATTTGATGATGTCTTACGTTTTAGTACTTTGTGAGCGTTTAGCAACGAATGAGTCTTGACTGATTGCAAGTCAACGCGTTTAGATCGTTGGTTTTTTGATATTCAGTGTATATTCTTTTTCTCTTCTCTCCAACATTTTATCTCGTAAAAACGATGGACTATTATTCAAATTTTCATAAAAATACCATTGAAACTGGATGCGACAAACCGAAAAGGTGAAGTTTATTTTTACGTGTTTTTTTTGTACTTACATCGTCGAATCTTCAGTCGGGGATTGGATGCGTGTGTAAACTTTTGCAATTCCTATGGAAAAATGGGATTACCATCAAGAAAAGAGCACATTCGGGAAAGAGAGAGCTAGCCCGTTGAAGTTTTTTTTGCGTTTTATTTTGGTGTGCTCTTTTTTACTGTTCTCGAGTGATTTTATCTGCATGAAATATTGGTGTTAGACACGAAATACGAACTGAATTTTCAACATTGGTGCTCAAATCTTAAGTGGAAATCAAGTACAGTATAACCTGGATTTTTGAGTCGCCATGCATCGATTTTTTCTCTCTCGTTGCTCTGAATATAATCGGTCGTGAATTGATATTTCGGAATGCAAACCAAACATAGTCGCCGGATATCGAGATAAGACGATATATTTTCGAATCGAATTCGATGTGATTTTCCACGAATTACATTCACAGTGAATCACTGCTTATTGAACTAGAACTCATACTTTGTCGAATTGGAGGTTCTTTCGTAAAAATGTTGTCACGATGAGTTCATTTTTTTTTGCACACTTTCAAATTGAATATCGATAAAAGTAAAGCACGTCATTTGAAGTGAGGAAATGACTGCACCTGTGGGAAGTAATGTAATGAGCGTTGGTTGTGATCGACGTTTGAAAATTTATTCAAGAATAAATAAAAAATGAATTCTATCGAAGGTTCTATCGAAGGTTGGAGCCGTGGTGAAAATCAAGAAATTATGTGACTTTAGAAATTCAATGGCGATTTTTCAGGCTTAAAATTTTTGCATCGAAATTGAATGGCAAAAGTATTCTGAACTTAAAAAAAATAAATCAATGTGATGATGAATTCAATTGGAAACGAATTCAATGTAAATCGATGCGAAAAATTTCCATAGCAAATAATGAAAGAAATGGAAAATCCATGTTTGTGAACGACGAAACAATGGCATATAGAAATATGCAGTGAATAAATCGATAATAAGCGTTCGCATTTATCATAAATAAGTGCTATTCATCTACTTCAGCTCTTCTCTCGCTTGATTGTTGCTTGTATTGGTTAGAAAATCTTGAATAGTTGTATCAATTCCAATTGTGGCTTTGAGAACGACATTGCGGCTACACACGCCAAATATATATAATTTCAATCGAAAAAGAAGAAGGCCAATGTGTAGTCATAGAGAATTGGCAGAGCAGAACGATGGAAAGAGAAAGAAAAGCTGACAAACGATTTTAAAAAAGGAAACTTGTCGCTGAAAATCCGTAGCAGCATTTAATGCAGCCTATTCAGTTGAGCAGTAAATTGTGATATGTCTGTAGAGCGAGAAAAAAAAGTACAGTGAATATTACACTTGTGAATCACGCATCAACTTTACTATGATGGAAACCATATGAACCTATTTAACGAGTTCTATTGAAGGAAGTGTGATCATTGAGCGCAAATATGTGGTCATTGGCTATGCTATGTGTAACGGGGCCCATTCCGTTCGCACGATTTCAATTTATTATCGAGACGCGCCCTAAAATTATCTAAATTAGAAAATTCCTTTCCACTCGCATTTCGATTGAATTCTGACAAACTGTACCACAATCAAGATTAACACCAAATGAAAATTTCAATTTATTATTGAGCATTTTTTACTAATTTTCTCTTTTTTTCTCAATCAATTTAGATCGTCTGGTCAAACATGGCTACAGTTACAACAGCAGAAATTGCGTGCGAAAAAGGAGTTGCAACACAAGGGCGATAACGAATATTGTGAACGAAATGTGCACATTGATAATCGAAACCGACCTTTGCGGTAAGTGTTGAACTTTGATTGTTGTTGCTGTTGAACGAATTCAAAAGTAAAAACGATTTCTCTCTTCCGAAAACAATGTCCTTGAATAGGTCACGTTCAAGTCAGTCATCACATCGATATGATGGATATTCAAGCGATACGGGCGCCTTCGATTCAAGAGCGTTCATCGATGAAGTTGATTATCGACAACCGTTGCATGTGCAAACGCCAAATCGGCCAAATGAACGCTACCATACAATCACAAAAACCACAACAGCGACAAATGAACGTCCTTTCGTTTCAGTAAAACGAGCTCATGAACAATCCAAGGCAAACAATAACATCATTGGGGTAAGTGATTTTGTTTTTGTTTTCATTCAAAATGCACATCGAATTGCACGTGTTTTTTTTTTCATGAGAACTATTTAAAGAGAATGCGTTTTACGCAATTATGTAGATATATGCTTGAAGTAGTAGACTAAATTTCAATATCAATCCATAGTGTAGAATAGTAGTTGCACTTTTTGACCTCATTTCAAAAATTCGCTTTGTTTGAGTTTTTATTTTCTTCATTTGCGTGAGATTTATTTGGTTTTTTTTCTTTTGTTTTTTTTTTGCAATTTTGTAAAATTAACGTAGTCACCATCACCATCACCACTATCAATATTGAATGCATCACCGCACGGTCATATTGCACAAGCACAATCACCAAATCACAATCAAAACGGGCTTTTGTCATTAGCTGATAACAATGAATTATCCCCTGTGCGTAACGGACATGCTCGATTGGTATGTATTTGTCTTTAAAAAAAATAACACCATGGATCAGTGCGCCTCCGAAAGTGTGGCGCCGTATACGATAGAGATAAGAAATTCATTTATAGATAATTCATTGGATGTGAGCTGCCATTGGAAATGCAATCACAAACGCAATAACCAGTTTGGCTTCAAAACTTAAACAATAATCCACTTACACAAATCTCACTTGCGTGCGGCATCGTTTAAAATTAACCTCAGACCAAATGTTAATGTTCAATTGACGCACAAAGGCCAATGGTCACATTTAAACTATTAAATGAACCAAGATTCGGCTTTGTTGATACTATCGCTTTTTGAAGCATTTGGCTTCCTTTTTTATTGCACATCATTTATTGCATAATCACATTTTAACCGCGATTTTCTCTATTTTCAATGCTCATTTCTAATTTTCCCTAATAAAACCATAATTTTAATTTTTATTTTCATGTTTGCACAAAATTTTCTATTTTCTTTTTCTTTTCGTTTTTTTATATTTGTTGTCATCATTCGCATTTGATTTACTCACACATAACATCAAACAAACACTAAAACCAAAATCAAATCATTCAAACAATCAAAAAAAAAAAATCACCGACAAAATCACATTGAAAATGCGCAGGAGTCCGACAGTAGTAATAGTTCACCGTTATCATCGTCAAATACGAGCGGTAGCCCGGCGGTGACGGCATCGCCAACTGATAGCCGAACCTGTGATAACATCGATGGAATGCATCAATCAAATGGCGAAACTCAAATCACAAATGGATTGAGAAGCTATTGCACAAAATCGCCAATCATCATCGAAGAAAATGGCAATGATAAAATCGATGATTCGAGTTACCTGGCGCTGGATCAATTATTAGCATCGTTGGCACTTGAAAATGATATTATGGAACGGCATTTATCGCAAATCAATAATAACGATACAAATGACCTGAAATTTAAGCATCAAAATCAAGCGAATGGAGTATTTTCGTTTGATACTAATACACATGACCATTATGTTAGCAATGGTAACTATCAAATCACCCGAAAACAAAATGGATTCGATGAAAATCTGAACGATGTGCTGGCCAATTTAATCGAATTTAGCGAAAATGAATCATTACCACAACATCAAAATACCAATGGTCATACGAATTCCTATGCAAATGGCCATCATTTGGTCAATGGATCGATCAACAACAACCACCACCACCACAATCATCATCATTTGCCATCGCATTTTAATCATTTGAATAACAACAATTTCAATAATAACAATCACATCAACAATAATTATGTAACAACAAATGGCAACGGCATCAATAACAATCATATCAATCGTGTTCACAATTACCATGAGCCCAGCAATAATGCTATCAAACGGCTCACATCCGAATCCGAAAATAGTTCATCCGTTTCACCAAGTTTGTCCGAACGTAGCAATGGCATTGTTTCGTGGAGCGATCAGGTATGCTGCAATCGGTTCATCTTCTTTTTCTTTTGTTTATATCTCTTTTGTTTCTATTTAAAACCTTGTTTTTACTTGTACCGAACAATTTTTCGATGCGGACCACCAACACACAGCGCGTTCCCAATGTGGCCTACAAAAAAAAATATTACCAAAATTTATTTTCCATATTTTTTTCGATAAATCATCAGCCTTTAGCATCCATCGTTCATTTAGAATTATCCATCGTTTGTCCAATTAGTTCACATTCACCGTTAAATCAAAACTAGTGTAAAAATAAATACATATACCCAATCATCTAGATTTATCACAATTTATACACATAGCTATTTATACAGAGCTTGATCGATTTATACAATTAGTCAAAATTCGGCTCTTCATTGCATGTATTCATGAATGTACTAATTTTCGTTCATTATGCAAATACTTTAGCATTCATATATCCCATTCATTAAATAAATGCTTTTAATCATAATAATACCAAAGTATTAAATCAACTAATAACCTGGAAATCTATATTTACATAATACCGTACTGGAACACATTATCCAAAATGAATAGAAATCGAAAATTTCACTCCACGAGAGTTGAACACAAATTTTTAAATGGTTTTCTTTGTATGAACAGGTGCGTGAAGAGTCATTTTCATCATATCGATCGGAAACGGAGCCGGAAACATCATTGGCTGGATCACCACGACCAGAAACACCGGCCTTTCCATTAACGCCCCGCACTCCATACGGCTTAAATGGCAACATTAGCCCAGCGTTGCCACCAAAAAGTCCCACTTCAATTCGGTAAGAACAATTTTTATTTGGCTAAGATTCTTCCATTTGGTTTGATCTAAATTTTGACACAAAATCTTTAAATTAATTTCAATTTAACATTTTCCTACTGTCATTCTTTTTTTTTCTTTAATTTTGGATAATATTTTTTTTTCGAAATTTTTAATTTTTTTTTTTGATTTATTAAAATTAAATATTCTAAATCAAGACGCTTAAATATGATACACAACAATGGTTCGACATGGTCATTAAGAAGTGGTAGATCAACAGCAACATACGATTGGAGGTGCGAAATCGATACGAATCGTAACACAATTTCTATTTTGCATATATTCAGCACGTTGTGCACCTCGGAATGAATTTTCACCATTGTATTGTTGAGCTAAGAATGTATATGGAGCAAATGCACGTTCGATATAACTATTATTTATTTCATGCATATATTCTCATGCAAAAAAGAGAAGAAAAAATATTGAGTCCATGAAATATGATCTGATTTATGCTAGTAAATTGAACCAAATTGAAATTCATTAAAAATGTTTAACGAGTTAGAATGGCGCATGAAATACCCGTAATCGATATGGCTTCGTATTTTGTTCCATCACACCTGTGCTTGTGTACTAACCAACTATGAATCTCATTCAGTTCTACAGTATCTCTCAATATTTCACCACAAAATGTGTGTGCTAACATTGACTATTTTATTACGTGCAAGAAATAGAAAAAAACACGACAATTACTGTCAATATATTCGATATATTTACGATACAATTCCATCCAATAAAAGTTTAAATTGTATCGAATTACTCGAACACGAATCAAAAACATCTAACAAAGTCATTCCATAAAATATACAGCGCTCTAATTGCATCGAAATGTAACACATTCAAAACATATATTAAAACTAACAAAATGTTGTGTATTTGTAGTGTTTATCGCTTATTAAATGATCATTTGTCGTATCATTTTAACAATAAACTCAATATCGAATCGCAATCGTCGCTAATAATACGACTTGTTTTATTATTTCATCATAACAATAGCAAAGAGATATATTCTGGCGGACAGACGCATCATATAAATCAAAATGATGTGTCGTGCTACACATCACGTCGTAATTCAACCACATCGACAGCAAACAGTGAACCACAAGAAATTGCACCACATTTAGTGAAGTAAGTAGCATGAATGACTGCACTATCATTCATTTGTCATCTGTGCCGCTTGATTTTCGTTCAACGGCTCTTTGTCATCAATATTCATAATGCTCATATAAAATTTCATTTCAACAGATTCGTACGTGATTCATCGAAATTCTGGTACAAGCCGACTATTTCGCGCGAAGAAGCGATTGCACTTTTACGGAATGCTCATCCAGGTAGCTTCTTAGTTCGAGATTCAACAACGTAAGTTTGTCTCATTTCTTTTGTCGTCAGGCACATTTATTGTGGCTAGACATATTCATGATTTATTGTCGACACTTAGCATTGCTTAGATGATTTATCTGATATTTTATCAACAGATTTGCAAAGGCATTCGGTTTGGTGTTGAAAGTGTCGCATCCACCGCCCGGTGTACAATCAAAAGGAACGGGCGATGAGTTGGTTCGTCATTTCTTGGTTGAACCAACCACACGTGGTGTTCGGTTGAAGGGTTGTTCCAATGAACCCGTATTTACATCACTTTCAGCTTTAGTTTATCAACATTCAATCACACCGCTCGCTTTACCATGTAAACTGATTATACCGGACCGTGATTTACAAAATGTTGAATATCATTCGCCGGCACAGCAACAGCTTATGACACAAGGTGCTGCATGCAATGTACTTTTCTTATTCACATACGATACCGAATCGTTAACCGGACCAGAAGCCATTCGAAAAGCGGTATCATTGCTATACTCACGAAAACCGTTGCCAAAACCGACCGAAGTTCATTTTAAAGTCACACAACAGGGAATCACATTGACTGATAATACACGTCAATTATTCTTCAGGTAAATTTATTGAATCAACATAATGCACAAATTTCCAAACGGAAATTTAATTTTTGATTTTTTTAAACAGAAAACACTATCCGGCCAATAATATTTCATTCTGCGGTTTGGACCCCGATGACCGACGCTGGAGCATTCGTGTGACCGGTGAAGTTCCAGTTAGCAATAAGTAAGAAACGAATTTTCACCTCCCACAGTTCAAATGTGAACACTTTCTTAAATGTTTTCTTCTTCTCCGTTAGGACGATTTTTGCATTCGTGGCACGTCGTTCAACCTCATCAAATGACAATCAATGCCATGTATTCTGTGAATTGGAACCAAACCAACCGGCAGCTGCAATTACAGCATTTGCAAATAAAGTCATACCAAGCTACGGTGCACAACCGTATCTCCAGAATATTTGAGGCTATGCCCACCGGACGCGACGCAAAGTCGATTTTATCGACTTGTAAATAGGAAATAAACAGAAACAATTTACCATAAACATAGGAAACATCTTAAGGGATTACAAAATCTTAACAAACAAATATAATGTTGAAAACATTGAATTTAAATTAAAAAAAAAAAAACATTAAAAACTAATTGTAACTTCCCTAAAAAACTAAATCACGCATATACACACATGACGCACACAACACAAATTCTACTAATTCTGTCTTTTACGACGGGCAGCTATAATATACAGGTGACAAAAAACAATCAACTAACGCAGCACTCCACGAGACTAAAACACACTTCATACATTTATATTTTTTTGGGATCGAAATTGGTATTTCCAATTTATTTGGAATGGAAAAACGAAAGGGTCGAGCAATGTAAGGACATATGAAAATAGAAGATACCATTTTGGAAACAAAATTACAATAGATCGTATCTTTTGAATGATTGATAGGGAAAATATCTCATTCATGGTAATGTTATATGTATCGAAGATGGCGAGTGCTATAAACAAAAGCCCATTTTCCCTCTCTCCCTGTGTCTATCTCTTGTCGATGAGAAGAAAATGCGGATGCGGAATTTTTTGTTTTGCATATTTTGTGTTGTTTGCGTCGTCACCAAATTGAAATTTGCTTTGTAAAATTAAGCGTGTTTTTTTCTAAATGTTTGTATGTAATTTCGTGCGATGTTAAATTGTATACAAGCTGTTGTGTGACAATCCAACGAAAATTGTCGACCGATCGATATTTTTTCTTCAACGATTTTTTCTTTCATATGTTTTTGGAATATTTCATTTACGAATTCTCTTATGCGATCATTGATCAATGTGAGCATCACATTTTGTTTCGAGAATCGCTTTCTGATCGTACAGTTACGAGAAACAATAAAAATAAAACAACTAGTCGAATACAATTAAAAGAGGAAATAAAACCTAAAATCATCAAATGGAGCACATGCACTCTCGCACATTTACTACAATTAAACTGTTTCACAACTGAAGAGAATTGTAACTAATACTTTACGCACCCTGTTGACGAACATTGATGTTTAAATGTGAATAATAAATTAATAAATGGTAACATCATATACAAAACGTAAGAATATCAGCATCAATTGTCTTCTAGCCATGTAACGAATTAATTAATAAATTAACCACGAATTAATCGATGGAGTAAATCACTTGAATGTATATGTAAATTAGTAATCGTTTCTACTTAAAAATAAATTTCATTTAAGTATTTTTTTATTTTTCGTTTATTTTGTGTATATTTTCGATCGTTTTTTTCTTTTTTTTTTGTCCTTGTAATTTTATGATTTTAATTATTTTCAATTTTAGTTTATTGTAACACCCAATTCCCATATTCTTCTCTTGGCCAATCCCTTTTTTTCGTTCGTAGATATTTAATTATGATTACATTTTTAATTTTACATTTGTAAGAGCTTAAATAAACGCCGGATTTCAATACGAAATGAGAGTAAAAATCGAATCAAAATATGTGTACTAGGAATCATTTTTTGAACGACTTAACAAACTTCTACCGAACATACAACTTTGTTTTAGTTGCAAAATTAAATTTAAAACACTGAAATAAAAAGTAATAAAAATGAACATTAATTTAAATGAAATATATATATTTGTATGGACATTATGTAAAAGAATAATGTAATTCAACGGAATATATCAAAATAAAAACTACTAAATATGATAATGTGTTGGTGTTTTCATTTTATTTTTTCTCAAGCTATGTTTTATCACATATCAACCAATGTGAGAAAATGAACTTCATAAAAGTTTACAAAGCTTTCTCTACTTTGCATACGCTATGTTTTGATGAAAATACTTGATAGCTACTATTGATTTATTTGACTCTCGGAGGAGTCTTTATTCGATGTTGTTGAAATTGATCGATGCGCGTCAGTCCCATAATCTGAAGTTCGTTCAAGTTAGCACGGACACTAGCAAAGAATCCAGAAAACAAAGGAACCACTACACTACCATCAACGACAACAGAAGCAAGCACTGCATCAACAGAAACAACTACCGTATCGTAAGATGCAACCACAGTCGGAAAATCAACTACACTACATAGGTGATGACGAGGGTTCCTATATTTTTAGGTAATATTTTTAGGAACCCTCAACAATTTTGGAAATGAGGACCTTTTTTTTGCTCTTCACTTTTTTGGCCGAGAAAATTCTTCCGATTTGCTAACGATTTTCTTGTCATTTTTGGATTTGCAAGGCAATTTGAAGTAGGAAAATTCTTTCGATTTGCTAGGGATTTTCACCAAAAAAGTGGAGAGCAAAAAAAAAATCAATTTTATCCTCATGGATTTTGCCATCACCCCCCTAAATTTTTTTACGTCATCATCTATGACTACACTATCAGAAAAAAGTGTAACAGAATGTATTTTAAATATTAAAAATTTACATTAGCCATTATTATTCAGCATTCACCCGTCATTTTTTTAGTACCAAAGATTAAATGAAGATAAATAGAGAATAATAAACGTTCTAAAAAAAGTACACAAAGCCGTTTTTACAAACGATAAGTATCGAATTCACACAGCGTAGAAAAGTAAAAAATGATTTGTATGCTGAAATAACCACAGATCGGACAGAACTACCTAAAGAGCTATCAAAATTAAATAAAGCGCCAACAGAAACCTTTAAAACATCATTACAACTAACCAACGCAGAGCTAAATGGACCGATGGAGGCATTGGAAGAGCAGCCAGAAAAAACAACTGCACCAACAATAACCACCGAAGCATCGTTAGAATCAAACGGAAATGAAGTACTCGCAGCACCAATAGAATTTTCGGAATCAAATACAGCACCAACGGAAACTGTTAAAAATTCTTTAAGCCCAATTATCGTACAAGTAACCGCAACATCAAAGGAGACAAGAAAACTGAACAGTGTTCATTCGAATTTATTTTCATTTCAAATTAATTTCAAGTTAATGTATTTATCAAATCACTGTCAAACAGAATAAACACAACAAAATCGAATCAATTAGCACGTGTGTATTGCTTGAACAAGCCAATTAAACAAATCAAATAAAATGCCACACATCATATTTCCTCATAAACGGAATAATATGTAACGGACAAAAAAAAGCAGAAACATAGATAGACTCAGTTTACAAAACAAAGAAATTCAAAGATAAATATGGGTGTTTTGTTGAAAAGACAGTTTAATTTATTCTCAAATTGAAAATAACTTCATTGACGTTGACTTATACACTTATTTACACAAGTGAAAACGTTTCTTTTTTTCCCTTATCATTCGAACTATACGATAATGCGAACGTGACGCCAAGCAGTTTGTTTATCGGGTGCGAGATCACTATAATTCAAAAAATCGTTGTTATACACGTGCAGTCAAACGTGCGTAGTTGCATAAAAATCGTAGTGAAATTAATCTGATAAAATTGCCGTATATATTCGGATCCATTCAACTCAACTCAAATCGTAGAAATATCATTTTATTTTTGTTTCTTAACAGAATCATATTCATTTTGTGATCACTTACACTCTTGTTTGTTGATGTCAATCTACGAGCACCGCATGATACTCCCATTGAGATTGAGTGCACTGCGTCTCGACAATTATTTAAATGTCAAATCTGGTTGCAACGAAACTAGGTACGAAACACAATTACCTGACAACCAAATAAATAACAAAAACCGTCAATTATCGCCATACAATGAACAAATCAAGTCAATGTCAGGTTTTATTGTAAACCGAAACAAAGACATTCCACACAGTTAGTATTATATTTCCCAGTATTTGTGTGCACTTTACATGTTATTCTTCCTTTTTTTTTGCTATTAAAAGAATTGCAAATTGCTTTTTTAAATCCATTTAAAGTTTCGTTTTTGCCACGGTACGTACCAGTGTCAAAATTATTTCTATGGAGCGCACATGAACTAAATCTTCTGTTGGAAAAGAACAAAAGTACAAAAGCATATGGAAACCGAATGAAAATAAAAAAAATTGTTTCTTTTTGCTTCCAACCAAGATGCGTATCCAACGGCCGTTCGGTGTCCACTGAGATAGACATGTTGACAGGTTAAATTCAGTTTGTACATATCTGAGTAATTGCAAGTAAAACCGGTTTGCTGTGTATAATCGTGACGCTCATCATATGTTCGATTTCAAGTTATGTAAATTACTAAAAAAAACGTGCCAAACTACCGTCGAAACTTTATGTTAACTGTTCGAAATGGAATGATATACTTCAACTGGAAATCTCATATAAAATCAGACGAACGCAAAATATTTAAGTTAGTTTCGTTTGAACTGACTGGATTAAACATCAGCAAACGGTGTGTTTCTTCTTACAACAATTTTTTTTGGTTGTTTTGGTTTCGGAATTAGTGAAAGTGAATCGAAATGACAAGGTGCTCGATTCTACAGTTGATGCTAGTTGCATCGATTGTTTTAGTTAATTATCTAAATGCAAAAGCAATATTGAGTAAAAAAGAACCTGTTTTGAAAATAGCTGTAATTGGTGCCGGTGCATCAGGTCTTGGGAGTGCGAAATATTCTCTTGCCCATGGTTATAATGTAACAATTTTCGAACAAGCCGAAGAATTGGGTGGCATTTGGTGGTATACCGATAAAGTGGGTAAAAATGAATATGGTGTCAATGTTCATTCGCCAATGTATAAGGGATTGAGGTATTATTCTTTCATAATATACAATTTTATTCTTTTGTTGAAATTCACATTTAAAACTGCGGTAAATGTTCTCTATTTCTCTCAATCAGGGCTCTTTCGCCGCATCAAGGTAAGTGTCAACATATTAAAGTGTATTTTCTACGATGACGTTGAACTAAGCGCTTAAAGTTGAATCGAATAAGTTGTTTATTTGAAAAAAACGTTTACGCAAAACAAAAAGCAAATTTTTTTAAAACATGTATTCATGTTTAATTTCAGTGATGGAGTACAGTGACTTTGCGTATCCAGAAAATAGTATTTCATATGCGCCACAAGCTGATGTTTTGAATTATCTTAAATCATATGCGGATCATTTCAATGTGACGGAACACATAAAATTCAATCATCTCGTCATTCGGGTTCTTCCAATTGAAAACGAAAAATGGGAGATTATCGTAAAAGATTTGCTCAAAAATGAATTCAAAACATATATTTTTGATGTTGTATTTGTGGCTAATGGTCATTCATCGACGCCAATCATTCCAAATATTCCGGGCATCAATGAATTCAAAGGCAAAATGATTCACAGCCATGATTATCGATCGGCCGAAAAATTCCGTGGTATGTTGCAAAGTTGATAGAAAAAAATCCAATTTAAATAATCATACTTTTGGTGTATTTAGGTGAAGATGTTTTAGTCATAGGACATGGTGCCAGTGGAAGAGATATCGTGTATCAACTTAGCAAAATGGGAAACCGCGTTACGTCTAGCCAACGTCGAAACAATGAAACGGACGATGAACGCAACACACGTCAAAAAAAATTACCACCACACACCATACTCCAGGATGAAGTAAAACATTTCACACCAACTGGAGCCGAATTTGTGGATGGCACAAATCAAACATTCTCTTTGGTTGTCTTTGCTACCGGTATTTATCTTGTCACATTGCCCAACTGAATACATTTTAATAAATTATTTGTTTTATGCAATCTTCTCTTATAGGCTACAACTACTCGTTTCCATTTTTGAGTATTGAGACGGGCATTAATGTAGATGATAATTATGTATCACCACTGTATAAACAAGTTTTCAACATTCAACATCCTACAATGGTGTTTATCGGTATTCCATATAATACATGTACAACGAGAGCATACGACCTACAGGTACCTATCACCATTTTAAATGTGAAATTATTTGATCGAAATTATAACCATTAAATTGTAGATGCGTTTTGCGATGAAATTCATCAGTGGAGAAAAGAAATTCCCATCGAAATACGAAATGTTTGCCGACATGAACGAACAAATGGAAAAACACTGGAAGAAAGGCTATAACAAATTTAAATCACACTATTTGGGACCCGAACAAATCGAATATTTTAAACAACTCTCCGAAACGGCTGACGTTCAAAATGTGCCAAAAGTCATTGTTGACATGGAGTTTGATTCCGGAAAAACACAAAAACTCTTGCCATACGCATTCCGTAATTACAAATATACCATCGTCGATGACGAAACATTTATTAAGGAAAAATTAGAATAATCGTTTCGTTAGCATGCAACCAATTACCAAGTGTTTTAATAGCGTTATTATTTGTGCCAATAAATGCAGCAAATGAAAATCACAGTATATAATCAATATTTTTTTGTTATTTATGCGTGACAAGTACGATGAAATTAATTTTTTCAAATAGAAAACAGTTTGTATTTATATGTCACAAGATAAGCGAAAAAATATCTCGTCGCAAAAAGTGTAAGTATCGACAGCAGAAAGAGTGGTACAAATAAACTAATTTCACTTTTACACATTTTTTTTTGCTTCTTCTCGTGCGTTGTGCGAAAAAAATAGCTGCAAATAATTGTGTGTACAGATAACTGAGCGGCGTTTTTATGAAAGAAAGTCAACTTTAGCGCAATTTCAAACAGTCGACTGATTTGAAATGCACAGAATTTAATATCAACTTTTCGACTTGTGTATTATAGTCATTGAAATTCAGTTCAAATTCGGTTGATCCAAGTATTTGGCGAACATATTTTTACAGCGGATGTGCTACAATTTGATCATTATTTTCTCGCTATCAATTGGAAACTTTACGAAGGCTAGAAACATTCATGTATTTAATTGTACACAGAAAAAATGCAATATTTTAGCGAAAAGCGATAAGATTTATTTTCCAATGATTATGTTGTTTTTTCTTCGGAAAGTTCTTCTCTCAATACAAATCAAATCACTTCATTTACAACAAAACTGTCGATGCATATGCGGTGTATGGAGCAGCAGAAATGTATGGTGCCGAATAAGCTTCAACATAAGGGTAAGTGGCCACGTATTCAGCGGTATTGCCATGGAATTCACCTGTTGTAAACAAAAACGACTTTTATACAATAGCTTTTAAACAAATATTTCGTATAAACTCACGGGAAACTACTGCACTGCTTGCAACGAATGGAGCGGCCACAACTGGAGCACTGTATGCGATAACATCTGGCTTTGGTGCGGCGCAAACACAGGCAATAACAGCAAAGACGAAAGCGATCTATCGTTTGAAAAAATAATTACGTTAAAACAAATAAACAAACATTCGTTTTGCTTGTAATTGAACTTTCACTTGTCTTTTTAATATTTTTAAATGAATCAAAATAAAAATCACTTACGGTTTTGAACATTTTGATTGTGTTTAATTTGTTTAGCTTATTGGAATGATAAACGAAAACTGATAATAAGCTCACTTTGATTTCGGTTTTTATACGATTTTTGATCGATATATTGATCGTCCATGATTGACTGTATGGGGATCTATTGTTTGTTTACTGTACGTGCAATGAAAATTAAAATGTCTGGATCCATGTTTATTCGATGCATCAAAACAGCTGATGTCACAGCATTTTCAAGTAAACAACGTTGCGCACGTGTAATGCATAATATCTGCGATAATGTTTATGTTGACATTGCTGTTTTATGAGACTATTTAAATATTCACGTAATCCAAGCGTAACTCAGTTTCGGATTCGAGCGGTCAATAATCAAATTAAAACTTTCGCATTTTTTTTAATTTCAAACTGAATGATGCATTTATGATGAGTTCAATGAACGGAGACTGTCATTGGTATAATATTCGAATAAGCCCTATTTGAGAGCGTATTCGATTTTTTATTACCTTCGATAAGAAAATGCACGTGAGACACATAGCGAAAATGTCTTCTATATCATTGAAATCGGAAACATTTTCTTAACACACTAAACGATAAAGGTTGTATGAACGAATGTCAATATCATCTGTCTAAATTAATGAAAATTCGTCTTGTAGGCGTAAAAATCCACAATAAGTGGAAAAATATATTTTTCAGCACAACAGCAAATGAATTTTTAATATCTGTCAAATTCATTTTCAACTTTTCGGAAGTCTTTTTCTCATAGAAACCGGTCTATATGTCGAATGGAAAAAAAACTGAAGCTGCAAAAAGTTGACACATCAAGAAAATCGATTAAAAAAATTGTAAACAGTAAATTTTACCATAAATATAAATGAAATTCCAAGCGAAAAGAGGTCGAATGCCAACAAACCGCCGGTAAAGTGTTTTTTTTTTGTTTGAGAAAAGTATGACCACTGCATGCTTTACTCTATTTATAACTTTTTAGTGTGTTCTGATAGTTTGGAGTTCTTTGTCCCCTTTTCAAATCTTCACAGCGGCTCAAACATTAATTTACAAGCATAATGCATAAAAGTACCAAAATAACATCAAAACCATTTTTTAACCTTGCTCAAGTAATAATGTCATTTACTCTCTGTTATTCTGAAAGAATATGCAATTTTATTCAATCTGGCCGGAATCATAAGCGTTTAGTGAAAGTGAAAAAAAGACGAGACATGAAATCATTTTAGTAGCAACGATTGTTTTTGAAAACTATCGAAGAAGTTACCACATGCAAGAAACCAGTTTTGGTTGTTGTTATTGACGCCGTAACTTGTTATTCTACACCAAATATTTTGTGGCATTAAAAACAGATTAATGACCATTTTTTGTATTACTAATATTTACTAACCAAAGTATGTAATGGAATTTATGGTGAACAAATCAAGAGTTTTTGTCATAGTAAAATTCAAGAATTTAAAATCTTAAACTAATGAAGAATACAAGTTTTTAAGTGTTGTTAGTAATCTTGTAATTTTTTTTGCGTCAATTTATTTTATAAGATCGAATCGTGTAGAATGTATTCAGAGAAAAAGTAAATGGGAAGTTGAAAAAATAATATTTAAATTTTAAAAAAGCAAATGATTTATTTTTCATTGATAGTTGCACTTCAAAAGTTCGAAATATGTTTTGTACAAATCAAAAATGAATCAATTGATGACGGGATAAAGCCTCTTGATTGTCAGCGGTTGATATAATTCACAGCATACAATTTACAATAAAACTGTCGATGCATATGCGGTGTATGGAGCAGCAGCAATGTATGGTGCTGAATAAGCTTCAACATAAGGGTAAGTGGCCACGTAATTAGCGGTATTGCCATGGAATTCACCTGTTGTAACAAAAACGACTTGCATGAATAAAATAGCTTTTAAACAAAAATATTTCGTATAAACTCACGGGAAACTACTGCGCTGCTTGCTACGAATGGAGCGGCCACAACTGGAGCACTGTATGCGATAACATCTGGTTTTGGTGCGGCGCAAACACAGGCAATAACAGCGAAGACGAAAGCGATCTATCGTTTACAAAATGATTAAAAATTGATAATATGTTCTACATTTGGCTAAGAATTAACGTGTCCAATTCAATTTAAAATAACAACAACTTGATTCAAAGAAAAAATTCTGTTGTTCTTTTATTCTCACAGGAATTTCAGATCACTTTAATTCTTATTCAAAAATTTCGAAAGATTTTTAAATTTTCACCGAAACATTGTCAATGAAGTAAATCACTTACGATTTTGAACATTTTGTTTGGTTTTGATTTATTTAGCTTATTCAAATGATAAACGAAAACTGATACTAGTCTCACATTGATTTCGACTTTTATACAATTTCTGCTCAAGATCATTCAAGCATGTGGATCTATTGTTCATTTACAAGTCCGAAAAATACGTGCCATGAAAATAAAAAAAATTGTGAATTTTGTCAATGTACTATCAAGACTGACTGTACAACTGATGTCGCAGTAGTTTCAGGTTAACTACGAAATGCGTGAAGCGCATAATATTTACGATAATTTTTGTGTATTGACATTGCAAATAATGAGTCAAATCAAATGTTGAGATGACCTAAAGAGATCTTAATTTGGTTTTTAGAGGTCAATAAAACAAAATACAACTCATATAAGACAACAATCGGAATTTAATTGATTCTTTTGGTATTGTATGCACAATGTTCAATGAACTACACTTACTATTAAGAATATATTATTACCACATGTCATTGATTTTGTAAAACAAAATATCTACATCGAAAAAAATGAATTGATATTCGTGAAGATTGAGTGACCTTCAGATTAAGAGGTTCACGCGCTGATTTTCCAAGATTCTAGTTATTGCATCGATCAAGCTACCTCAACTGCTGAAATTTTGCAACTATGCGATCGCAAATTTCCCGGAAGAATCATTTGTTTGAGTCGAGATAAAGATCATCCGTTGAAATTTCGTTCAATAATCGTGAGCATAATATAATAATAAATTGAATCTCAATAAAAAAAAAAAACAAAATGTATATATTCAGTGCAATGATATTTTTTATTACAACGTCAAAGAATCCAAATGCTTTTAAATTACGACTAACATTTTTTTGATTGCGTTATTGTTATTTGAGTCAAAAATTCACAAAACAAGCAATAGCGAGCTTAATCTCCATAGCAGATCCAAGTATTTTCGTCAATTTCCTTCAAATCGCATGGGTAAGTTGTATTTTCCGAAGGATTTTGCTCATTCATTGCTTCAGCAATCATATTTATAATATTAATATTGCCTATGAAAAAAAGAAACGAATGCTTAAGTCGTTCGCAAAATGGCCGATTTTCAATTTACCTGATAATTCAACGACTGCCTGAAGAGATCTTCCTGTTTCATCTGTAAGATTAACTTTGGCACCATATTGAAGCAGTTTTTTTACAATTGCTTCATGACCTGGTAAAATAGAACATTTTATATCTGTTTACAAACTGAAAATACAATAATATTACCAAATCGACAAGCTGCAAAAAGAGGTGTCCACCCAATATGATTGCGCAAATCAATATTTGCACCACGATTAAGCAATAATTCAACCATTCTAGCTTTACCTACAAAAATAAAAAAAATACTACTTGGAAATATTTACATTTTTGATGCATTTTAATAAAATACCATTGAAAGCAGCTTGATAAAGTGGCGTTTTCAAACCACATCCTTGGTGATTCACATCTGCACCCACGTTTATAAGAAATTTGGCGACATCTTCATGTCCTGATCAAATTATTTGCCCTCATAATAAACATATATCCAAATTATTAGGTGTTTGAATTATAAAATGTACCGTAAAAAGCAGCTTCACATAAAGGTGTGTCCCGAGAGAAATTTTCAATATCCATATTTTCTCCGTTTACATAGAATTCGATTACTCTATCAAAATCTCCTGTATTGGATAAGACGGTTTAGTAAAATAAATGTTAAATTCGATCACATTCCAATGTAATACAATACCTTCGCCAGCGGCCTTATGAAGATCGGTATTGCCATTCATATCAATTCGTCTACCAATAAAGCTTTGACAAATTGCAATAAATCACTTGATAGTTGAGTTGATGTGTACATTTTATGTGCATAATATATATATGCAGTAAATTTAATAAGATATATAATGCAATGTATTACAAAAACGAACATATTTGTCGTGCATATCTTATTTTGAATGAGTTGCATAAAAACTTTCCAAATATCGCGAATTATACATACAGTATGTTCAAATGTCTGGTCATGTCACATTTCAAACTTTTGGCTAGGTCTAAATAATTGTATCAAAGATGTACTTAAATGTACCATCATTTTTTTTAAAGTGTACCATACTCGTTTGGATAATATTTTTTACATTTTTATGATTGATAAATTTGGCTAAAATGTACTTTTCTTCCTGAAAGTTTCAATATGATCACTCAAAAATGAGTATGACTCTCATACAAAAGTTTTAATAAGTGGAGTAAAATAATTTTTCAAAAATATTAGAATTTTGTGGAAATGAAATTTTTTGTTTGGAATTCTTCAAATTTTAAATGCCTTATTTTTTCGTTGCATAAAAACTCGTCGGAAAATTTCTCGACATTGTATACATGAAAAATTATTGATTTTCCATATAAATCGACTCAAAAATAGCGTTTGCTCTCCAGATTTCACCTTCTATTGATAGACATAAAACTTCTTCTGAATGATCACATGATAAAAATGTGAGTGCATTTATTTGTGGCGGTCGGGATAACAAGGAAAAGAAGGCTGGATTTTAATCAATATTTTCAGTTTTATACTTACAAAAACCTATATGGAGACGCTGAAAAGTGAAAAAAGAACTCAAATTTATTGAAAATTTAATCACAATCTAATTTTTATATAAAACTACCGTTCGAAAGCGAAATCAAATTTGTTAGCACCAGAAAGAAATTTATAATAAAATTCATTTTGAAACTATACTACTTAACTGTAAGTTGTAGACTGAAACAAAATGATGAAATTCGTTTGACAGATTGCCGAGGAAATCGTGGTTTTTGCATATTGATAAGAGAAACATTTCTACCAAGATAAACATTGACGCCAAAAAATAAAAGATTGTCGATATTATGAATCACATCGTAACTCTAGTCGTTCTAAATAATTCGCACTATGAATGTTGTTATGCCACGATAATTTTATCATTCTAGAAAAGTCTGTGCTGTAAGATCCAACTGTATTTTTGACCAAATTAACAATTTTAAATCGGAAACTCTTTATCATATGCATGGAATTACTTTGACGAAGTCGTAAATATCAGTATTGTTGAAACATTTTCTTTACAAACCACTATTAATATAAACTATAATATAATATTGAATAGTTTTCAATTTAATAAGCTTCTGATTCTGAAAATAAATTATATCTACCAATGAAATAATGATTTTAATAATTAATAAATACAAAAGTTGTTTCATTCCAATAAAAATGATTTATTTTTCACCAATATTTCGATTGTATGAATTGGATTCATTTTGAAGATTACACAAAATGAATCGAGCATTTATATCGGCATTAAAAATTTATCACAGCGTTTAATAAAGATAAGTTGATGCGTAGGAATATGGAGCGGCTACGTATGGAGCTGAATAAGCACTGACATAAGGATAAGCAGCAACATATGGAGCTGTGTTACCGTGGAATTCACCTATTTGAAACGAAATGATAATAATTTACGAAGAATGCACAATGTAAGAATGTAAACATTTCAACAGAAAGTATGTAAACTCACGAGAATAGACCGCACTACTGGCGAATGGAGTGGCTACAATTGGAGCACTGTATGCGAACACATCTGGCTTTGGTGCAGCGCAAACGCAGGCAACAACCATGAAGACAAAAGCGATCTATTGATGTGAAATATAATTTTAAATTATGTTTTAACGAAAACAGAAGTCAAAATATGCACAATCACTTTAAAAGAATTAAATTTAAATAATTTGTACTGATTATACTACTTTACAAACTAAGCAAATCAACTAAAAATCACTTACGATTTTGAACATGTTGATAAATGCTATGATGTTTGTCTTATTCAAATGATAAACAAAAACTGATACATTCTTCAAATTGAATTCCGCTTTTATACGATTTGTTTCAAGTACTGAATTGGCAAAAAAAAAACACTGGGAGTTCAGTCATTAGTAATTCACACCATTCGAAACGAGTACGTGCCACAACCAGAGAAATATGTTTCAAGGCAAATTTTCAGGTCTTACTTTTACTGATGTCACATACATTTCTTAGTAGCTACTTCGTGAAATGCATAAAAATGATATATTTCTACATAAAAATTTATAGCTTTGACAATTAATACAAAGCTGCTGTGTTACAAAAGCAATCAAGTGATGAAAAAACCAATATCTTTTCGCTATAGGTGTCATTTTTGTGCAAACTACGGTGGAAATGGAAAGGTACGCCATTTCGGTTTCATACAAATCATGCACCATAGCAAATAAATTATCGAGATTGGTTTTTTGAGTCTCTAAAATTCAGAGCATATCAGTTTGACATAGGACATAGGTGATAGCGAGGGTTCCTAGGGGTCGGATGGCCCCCCTAAAATATTTTTAGGAACCCTCAACAATTTTGGAAATGAGGACATTTTTTTGCTCTTCACTTTTTTTGGCCGAGAAAATTCTTCCGATTTGCCAGGGACTTTCGCCAAAAAAGTGACCTAAAAAAAAAATCGTTATTTGTAATCATTTTTGCCTTTGGCGTAAGTGAAACTTTAATTTATAATAATGTGGTCTATATACTTGGGATTATATTTAAAAAAAGTAAACATTCGCCTTTAACCAAAAATTAGATGCATTTCGTGTTTGCTGTGGACATATGTCGTGATCTTACGGGTGGATTTCGTCCGACACTGTCAGCAATTGAAGCAGTAGAAGCATGCATAACGCACAGCAATATGTTTCCAGATATTAAACATCAATTTTACACTAGCATTGCTTCGTATGTATCTTTTCTGTTGAGTGTAGGTAATGAGATATTTCTTGCTGCAACATTTTCCACAAAAGATTTGAGAAGAATTACGATAAAGCGCTGCATAAAGGAATAATTCGAACCTATGGCCTTTTAATAAATCGATGGCGCAGCCATATTTCTCAAAAATATAACAAAATTGGAGATTCTGTAACATTCTTGAAAGCTGGTCGAAATTTCAAAAGGTTTTCACAAAATTGGCACGATTAGTGAGGTACAGTTGGCACTAATAACATCAGACTAGTAAGATAGTTATTACTTATTACTAATAATTTCTAATAACTGGTAATAAGATATCATCTTATTAGTGTAATAAGTATAGTAATAAGTATAGTTATTAGAATGTTACTAGTCAGAAGACTAATAAGATGCATGTATCTTATTAGTATAGTTATTAGTATAGTTTCTCATCAGTATATTTCGATTGGTGTTACTAGAAGCTAATACTACTGAAAACAGCAGAAAGGCAGTCAAAATCACAAAAAAACTCCCGATCGATTTTTCTGGCATTTCCAGTTATTACTATACTTATTAGTGCAAAAAAATAATAAGTAATAATATAGTTTGATCTTATTAGAATGATAAGATAATAAGATGAATAATAAGATACCGAAAATGCCCAACTGTATAGTGAGGAAATATCATCTGCATCAGCCACGCAGTCAATTTCAAATTATACGTGTCCTTTTGAAGAATTTGAGCTATCCTTAGATGAACTTAAATTAAATGAGCCTTAAGTGGACGAATCCAGAAGTTCGAAATAATAATGATGAAATGAAGATCGGTTTAATCAGTTTCAATAAATGTAATTCACTACTCTGTAGAGTAATTTTTCACACTTTAATTGAAAAATAAATACAAATTATTTGGTGGAAAATACAGTGATTTTTTAATTATATAGTTATTGCCTTTTAAACGTAATTTAGTTCATGAATGCATAAGTATTTCTGAAACTTTATCAAAACCGAATAGTGCAAACGATATGTATGGTGAATTGGTGATACGTGTTTTGAATAGTTCACATTGTACTGCCATCTGTCAACGTATTGTTCTATCTTGTTTAATTCGGTTTAAAATTGTTGGTTCATCAAAAAAATTGGAGTAAAAGACTTTCTTTGCTTTAATTGTTTTGCTTCATTGTCAAACAATCACATTTTAGATATGGAATGTTCACGGCTTGTTTGATTCTTGCGCTTTTTGAATTAAGGCAACAATTGCATTTTGTCCTAAAAATATTAAAAATTCATTTATTCAACTTGACTATATTTTTTTTATATGTGTCGTCAACCTTTCTCTTTGGCTACATCAGCAGCTGTTTTATGGTTTTTATTTTTCAAATTCACATCAATGCCATTTGAAATGAGAAGTTCCATCACTTTGTTTTTACCTTTAATTTAGAGATATGTGCTTTTGTTAAGCAATTTTTATATACATATATTTCATTAAAAAAATGTCCTACCCGATGAAGCTGCATAAAAAAGTGCTGTTTGTCCATCGGTGTCTGTTAAATTGGGCTTTGCACCATTGGCAAATAATAATTCCATAATTTTTAAATGACCTATGAAACAAATCGAACATGATTGAATATTGAAATTATAAACTCGAAGTTGTTGTTGAATATACCTTGTCTGCTGGCAAGAATGATTGGTGTTCTACCAAAGAAATCTGGGGCATTAACGTCAGCACCGTAACTAATCAACATGTCAACCATACTTTCACTACCTGTTCCAAAAAGAAAAATTGAATTGATTTTCCCACTGACTCTAATTACCATATTTTGAATTACCATTCGTAGCAGCATGATGCAATGGTGTAGAGTGCAAATCATCCAAGACATCCACATCGGTGCCATGATTAATCAATTGCTTTTCAATTTCCACATAACCTGAATGCAGCGAGTTGTATGTTTTAATTGTTATTTGAATAATTGCAATGTTTTACAAATTTATAACCTTTTGCCGCCGCGTAGTGAGATGGGCAAAGTCCAAATGAATCGGTAATGTTGGTAACCGCGTCATGATTACACAATATTTCCACAATTTTTTCGAAACCTAAATCAGATCCCATTGCATTAATTCATCTCTTGGTACGAGAAAGGTTTCGAGTCATACCATTTTCTGCTCCATAGTGGATCGGTGACATACCGTTCAAATCTAACAAATTCAGCTGAGCGGTATGATCGACCAAATATTGTACTATATCCTCCTGGCCTTTAATGATTACAATACGCTGAAATTAGGATCTGTTTTTTTGTGGGATGAATTAAATGAGTTACCATTCATTGCCGAAAGATGCAATGAAGTGCGTTGAAAATTATCCTTAAGATCAATGTTAAAGCCTTGTTCGATGAAATCTTTTACAATTTCCAATGTACCTAAAGCAAAATTTTAAAAATTAAACCCAAACCAAAATAATTTTGAATCTCACCATTGTGACTGGCATTTAAAAATCGAAGTTCATCATAATTTAAAACTTCATCATTTCCATCGACGATTGAAATATTTTCAGTGGACATTGCGTCCAACATCATTCTAAAACAAAATGAAAACATTAATAACGCATCACTCGTACGTTTGGGGCAACTCACATTTCTTCGGAGATTGGTACTGAAAAGATATAAAATAGAATAAAATTTGTTCTATCCACTGAATATCTGTATAAATACCTGCTAAGACTGCAAAAAAGCAGAAAAATAACACTATGAGACCTTTCATCTCTTGATTTATTCAAAATTCAATCCGTACGCAGAAGCCAATCACATTCAACTGAAAATGTCAGTAAATAATTGTTCTCATTTATGTGCACAATACCAAGAAGTATTCCAACCAGATAAAAAAATCGCACTGACCTTGCAAACAACTTTCAATTTTTTATCATCAACCCAGTTTGAATGTAGCAATATGTTTTGAACAGAATACAGAATTCGCCGGAAATCTCATACAAATAATAAACTGATATAAATATTTACTTGGGAATGCTGAGCTCAAACATTGTTTTTATCGAGTTAGAATTAAATGTAATCATAAATGTTTATCAACACGGTGGCGAATAGAATGTATGATGTAATAAAGCATATTTAGAAAAATTAATAAGCTAATAGAAATATCTGGAAACCACATTCATTTTATCACATTGGCCGTTTCCGAAAAACTTTCCACTTGCAATATAATGTATATATATAAAATTGATTATTGATTGAAATTAAAGATTTTGATGCATGTCATTCGATTTTGAGTACTTTAAAAAAAGAAGAAGATTTATAACATCTTTCGTCTTGTTAAAACGAATTTTTTTTTTTTTTGGTTTTTGTGCAATTTGGGAAAAAAATTGCCCTGTGTGAGGCTTGAACTGACGACCTTCAGATTATGAGACTGACGCGCTGCCTACTGCGCCAACAAGGCTCTGAATTTTATGTTCTTGATTCCTTGCACCGGCCATCTGCAACATTAAATGATAAGAATAACATTTTTTTTATTAGCAGCAATCCGCCGTTGTGTATGTCAAATTACTGAGCAGTTCACATTGCTTTAATTAATATACAGATTTGTTGTTATCACCATATTCTTATCATCAAGGAAACATACTAAGTAAGACGGACTCGAATTATTTTGATTGTAGCAATAGCAGTCTGTTTAGGAAGATACTTTGTAAAAGGTTATGCTCATAAGATTGAAAATTTTGTTTACGCTACAGATCAAAAGTAGACATTGCAGCCCTTCATTATTTGAAAAGCTGTAAATAAAACGCTGGTGGTTATTTGTCGCAAGAATAAAAAATATTTCTATTGTACAAATCGCGAATAAAAAGAGAGAGTGAAGCACTGTATGAATTCTTTTTACTTGTCTTTTTATCATCATTTTCTTCTTATCAGTATCACATATATTACAAATTAAGCACAAAACAACGTTTTTTTTGTTGATGAAATCGTTATGGCATATATACGCAATAAATGGTGGTGATCAACTATGAGTGGTAGTAACTGACCATTGAAACGACGACCAATTAGTTCAAGCCAAAGCTCATTCACTTTATATTCTTTGGATATAAAATGATTAAAAGAATAAAAAATACAAATTGTGATGTTATGTTGTGTTTATTTTCTATTGATTTTATTTACAAATTGAAAATAAATCGATGGTAGTTTCTGTGTTTTCTCTGCGAATAAATTATATGAATTTACAATAGAACTGTTGAGGTGTAAGCCGAGTATGGAGCGGCAGCAATATAAGGGGACGAATATGTAGAGACATATGGATAAGCAGCAGCAACGTATTCAGCTGTATTTCCATGGAATTCGCCTGTTTAAATACATTCAAAATGATAGGAATTTGTTTCGAATGCACCACACGCTTCAAAAGTGCAAATATTACAAAATTCAACTTACGTGAAACTACTGCACTGCTTGTAACCAGTGGTGCGGCAACAACTGGAGCACTATATGTGAGCACATCTGGCTTTGGAGCGGCGCAAACGCAAGCGATAACCATGAAGACGAATGCAATCTATTGGTCAAAACAATATGAGGGATTTTTATTGAATCCAAATAAAATTCAAAACAAAATACCGCAATGCAACGGAATTTAAATGAATATTCATTAGAAAACACTAAAACTTTCAAAGAATAACTTTTAAGTGTTCATTTCTTGTGATTACTTACAACTTTGAACATGTTGATTTAGCTTATTCGAACGATATACGAAATCTGATATAAAAGTCAGATCGAATTAACCTTTTATATGATTTTGCTTACGATTTTGATTCTCAAATCAATACGGCAAAGGAAATCAATTAATTATTCAAAACACTCAAATTCGTGATATGAACAAATTCGACGCAAGGTTTTAAGGTGATTTATGTCGGTGCAATTTTAAGTAGTTTATGTGTGACTGGCATAATGATGCTGCAAATTTTTGAAAAAGCATTCAAATAAATTCGATATATTTTTGACATAATATATATATTTTTCTTATCTTTTTGACATACTTATGAAGTCGTAATAATTTTGGGTGATGTGAATGTTTTGAGCCTGAATACAGGAAGTAGAATTTAGATAAAAATTAGTGAATTTAATGGGATCATTTAAGGAATTCGTGTATTTTTTTATTCATTTAATTTGTCAATACAATATTTTCTAATGGAAAATAATTTTGAATAATATTTATCTAACACATTTTTGTTATCATGACGCACGACGTATAGGTGCAGAAACAATATTCGAATCTTGTAGAACAATTTGGCTCGAATTCGCGAAACTTTCAAATTAATTTTGCTCAATGGATTGTTCTAAATATACATTTGAATGGTCAATTACTTTATTGAATTTAATATTGAAAGTAACACATTTGAGATATTTTCAAATAAAGTGATCGTCTCATGACGATATCCTGGGTTTTTTGAAGGAGTTACTTTTTGGTGGTGATCTAACTACGCCAGTCTTTATCCAACACATAGCTGTATGTATATCGACGCAAGCTTTTTCGATCAGCGCTCGTTTATTTCTCTCCCTATAATAACATGTTCCTGGTTAAAAATGTGTGAAATCAAAAAAGAACATTGCCTTACCCATTCTCATGCATTTCATATAATATGTCGGTTACCGCATGAAATGTTTCCATATGACTAAAATTAATTTAAAATTGAGAATTACTGAAATCTTTTAATTTTATTTTGATTGAAATAAAGTTTTCTATAATATTGTAAACATACTTATTTAAATAGCTTATAGTATACGAACGCTTCTCGTATTTCTTATTAAATTCATTCATTACCACATTTATTGGTTCCAAAGTAGTAGAAACAGCGCTGTAAAATAATAAAGTTAGAACAAATAGTTATAGAACAAATAGCTATTTTCAACAGTTTTAATGAACACATTCAATTTACAATTGAAATGGAGGTTGAGAACAGATTACCGTTTTTGGACATTTTAATTAAACGGGATTTGAATGGAGTTTTAAGCACGGAGTGGTATAGAAAGCCTATCTCAAGTGGAAGGATTTTAAACTATAATTCCTTTCACCCGATGAAAAATAAGATTGGAACAGCGATGGGAGTAATAGATAGAGTGATTCGGCTCACCAGTGGTGCTACTATCAACAATACTAAGCACACCATTATGGAATTACTCAGAAAGAACGATTTTCCAAAGAGTTTGATAAACAGACTATGCACCAAATATTTTAATAGACCTACGGATCTGAATATGTTGAACACAACAAATAATGAGACAAATAACAAAAATTTCTATTCATTTCAGTACATTCCAATGGTGTCCGAGCGACTATCAAAAATCATTTCATCGAAGATCAATTGCCAAATTGCTTTCAAAACAACTAACAATGTGAATAAATTTTTCACTCAAATGAAAGATGACATTCCATTGGATAAACAATATGATGTGATTTATGGCATTCCATGCAAACATTGCCGCAACAATTGGTACATTGGGAACACAGGACAGTCGTTGAAAGAACGTTTAAAACAACATCTGCGTACTTGTACGAACAACGAAACGAACAAAAGTTCATTAGCCTATCACGCTATTGATAACAACCATGATTTCGATTTTGATCAAACTAAAATTTTAATGCATGTTTCACACACGCAGAAGAGATTTTTATTAGAAGAAATGTACATCAAAACATCTGTAAATTGTGTAAACACTCGTAGTATTGAATCACGTAATATAAGCAACATATACAATAAGTTATTTAGTTCCTTTAATAATGTTTTAAATGCTTGAAATTAGTGGTGTCATTATGATGTCGCTGTGGTAGCCTTTTTGACATTAGACTGTCATTACACATTCAATTAGGTTTTCAATGTTTCTCATCCAAGATGCTCGATTACACACAGTTTTGTAGATTTCGATTTAATTTGACAACAAATTACGCAGTAATGGTTTAGGTATTATCTAATTTTTGTGTCTTAATATTTTGATAAGCGAACGATTTGTTTATATTATTTCATTTATAACTATAGCCCTGAAGAAGAATAAAATCAACATTCGAAACGTCGGCATTAACTAAAAACAAAAGTAGTTTGGCTTGATTTGACTGAAATTCCATACAATTTTCATTTAATATATCCATCAGTCGGTAGTACAATTGTTTCTTAAACTGTTCTGACATCAAATTTCTCGAATAGTAATCGGTTCCATCTTGAAAAACGA